TTCACCTCCCCATCCCTCCAGGAGCAGGGGGAGGGAAAAAGTAGGGCTGTGAGCGAGCAGCTGCATGGTCCTGAGTTACTGGCTGGGTTAAACCATGACAGGTGGGATGGTTGATATTTATCCTTGCTAGTATCTAGCACATTCTCCATATCATACATAAATGCCTTACAGCATCCATGTGTGGAATGACTAGACAACACTAACATCTGAGTTACATGTTTAAAGGCAGTGTAAGTCCAGACTTGACTTCTTGGGGCAAATACAGAGAATTTTTTCTGGGTACATTTTTTCCACCTGCAAGCAGGTGAGTGGTTTGGTTTCTCAGCCTTTAGTGGCCTTTGTTCTGTGTTCCTTTGCTACAGCAATGGGTTCAATATTCAAATGTGGAAGAAAAGCAGGTTCTGAATGAGAAGGGATGTGCTTTTTGCAGAATCAGAATGCAGATTGTGTGTTGCTGAACTTGAAGCTTTGAAAGGCTACAGACATGATAGAGCAGAGGTGGGAAATCCTGGGCACTGGTATCAGGCTTGGCACTGTCCATCTTCAAGTAGCCCTGACATAGAGAACGATTTGGGTTGGAAAGGACCTTAAGATCATGTAGGTACAACCCCCTGCCGCAGGCAGAGACGCCTCGCACTAGACCATGTCGCCCAAGGCTCTGTCCAACCTGGCCTTGAATACTGCCAGGGATGGAGCGTTTACCACTTCTCTGGGCAACCTGTGCCGGTGCCTCACCACCCTCACAGTAAAGAACTTCTTCGTTGTGTCTAACCTGACATCCACGAGCCATGTCAGAAAGAATCTCCATTTCTGTCATGAGAAAATGACTCTATGCTAACTTTGTAATTTTAAACAATTTGAAAATGTGTGCAGGAAACCAGTGTTGTTTATGAATATGAAATGAAGTTTCGTATTGCTGCTTTGCACAGGTTCCTAAAGTTACTCATACTGAATTCTGTCAAGGACGCACTATGAGATGGGCACTTGCATGGAGTTTCTATGATGATGTACAAGTACCTGTAAGTGGCTTAATTCTGATTTGCTTGTCATTGTCTCTGCCTCTTATTTGAGGAAGGGCCTAATGAGCTAGGACCACTGTGAAACAAATTGTCCTTCTTCAGAACAGAACACTGGATGTGCAGTGGGATTTCTTAACTGGCCACCAGTCTGTTAGCAGTTGTTAGATGTGATTCAGGAATAACCTATGTTTAGGAAGGTAAAAGAAGCCTGCGTGGGAACTTCCTGTGGGTTTCAGTGAAAGTAAGGATCACTTGTAACATACTTCAAATAGGAAGTTAGTAGTATTAAAAATATGCCAAGTATGGGACCAGATCTGAGCTTTAAGCTTCCCTCTGAGAACCTGGTTTTAGTTTACTGTATAGATTCTGTACCAGCTAGACTTGAACATGGCTAGCTCAGACTTGCTATGAGAATGTAAGTGGAGCTTGTTTACCTTACATGGTGTGAGCCAGTTGCTTTTCTGGATCCATACATACATATACTTGGAGACAGGTATAGACAATAACCAGCCTTATAGAAGATGCAAGTAAACCTTCAGTGAACTTGGATCAAAACGTGGATATTGGCACTATTCCCAAGAGTAACTACACTTTTTTAGCTCACAGAGAACAGTTTGAAGGAACCAATGAAACTTTTTGCTAACATCTGAAGATACACTAGCCTGATGGACAGGGAGTTTAAGGTGCATGATCCTGTTAGCTGTTTTTAATCTAAAACTCTTTGGAGTGAAGTCAAACACAGGCCATGTCAATGACTGTTTAGTGACTTACATTTTACTCTTCATAGAATCTCAGAATCAAACAGGTTGGAAAAGACCTTTAAGATCATTGAGTCCAATCATTACCCCAGGACTGCCAAGGCCACCACTTAAACATATCACTCTTAATCGCAAGTCTTCTGAGTACCGAAGTCCTACCACTAATACTGCATAACTTTGTGATTTGTTTTCTTTCTTCTTCTAGTCACCTCCCTCTAAAAGAAGAAAATTAGAAAAACCACGAAAACCAATTACATTTATGGTTTTGGCTTCTACAGTCAAAGAGCTATCCATCAAAGCTGCAGCTATGAGTTGGGATGCTGTAGAAGCCATTGCTGTGGTTAGAGCCTGGGTAGAGAAGATTCTCACTGATCTGAAGGTACAGTATTAAGTATTATATGTTAAAACAACATCCTACTTGAAAGCGTACCTGTGAGAGGACAGTACGAAGTTCTGCTGTTTTCTGCAATAGGTTCAGCACAAACGTGTTCCCTGTGGCAAAGATGAAGTTAGCCTGTTTGTGACTGCCATTGAAAACTCCTGGATTCATTTGAGGAGAAAGAAACGAGAGAGAGTAAGGCAATTACGAGAACTTCCTCGAGCTTCTGAAGATGTTCTGCAAGCAATGGAAGAGGAAAAAACCAGCCAGAAGAGTGAGAGCAACAATTCAGGCCGTGAAAACCTCAAGACTGAAGATTCCGAAATGGGGTTTATGGCACCTGATGAGGATGTCCAGTTGACCACAGGTGGTGAGCTACCAGAAGAATCCGCTGCCAAAGGAGAATGTTGTGAGCATGTGAAGGAGGAGGGGACAGAAGCAAAGGAGGGAGAAACATCACTTGGCAAAGGTTCCAGTAATGCAAGGGAGGAATCTTGCTCTTCAGAGGAACCTAGCAATCTGACAGTTGAAAAGGAACAAAGTCCCAAAGAAACTAGTAGATGTTTTCTCTTTAAGTGCTTAATGAATGTCAAGAAAGAAGGAAATGATGTGTTAGTAGAGATGCATTGGGTTGAAGGGCAGAACAGAGACTTGATGAACCAGCTGTGCACATACTTACGGAACCAAATTCTTCGACTGGTTGCTAGTTAGCCCTTTTTTCCTACTTTGGAAAAGTAAGTCAATCTTCAAATTTTGTAAACTATTTTTAATGGATTAAAAGTTTCAGTTGGCAAAACCTGGCTTTCCCCCTTAAAAATAATACTAAAATGGAGATAGAAGTCCCTTTAATATTTTAAATAGCTTTGTCAAAGCTGCACTCCATTGGACATGAGGTCATGGGGAAGTAATAGATTTTGTGCTGCAATTGTAAAATTACATGTTGAAGTGAAATATGTCTGTTTTGAGTATTTCAGATAGCAGCAGTGCTTATTCTGGTATTTTTTCTGGTATAATAGACTTATATATTGTTACTAAGTAGAAATCTTTACTAAAATATTTTCTTCAGTATTTTTTCAATAATGAAGCAGGAAATGGTTAGTCTTCTGTGGGAATTGTTTTCTGCAGCGAGGAGTCTTCAACAAAGGATTTACGTCTGCCTCTCTTCCCTCTAATGCTTTAACCTTTGGTTTGCAGAGCTGGATACATCCTCTAAGGGTCAATTCATTAAAATAATCACTTCAGAAGAAACACGTGTTGTACCCTTATGGTGTTTGGACTTTGAAACACAGGAGAGGCTACTGTTAGCATCTGATTTTGTAAACTTTGTTTTATTTGAGCTGCTTGCTTTAAAGAGGTTTTAACTATGTTGGCTGTTCCAGTAGACCATTCCTTACACTAATTCAAATAGAATTGTCTGAAATGACAGCAGTGTTCTTAAAGGATGTTGCTTCTATTTAATCTTCTAGGAGATTGCTTTAATGACAGGAATGAGAGCACATGCTCATCTTTGTGGGCCAGAAATCCTTATGCAGGACAGAGATGGGTACAAAAGCTTTAGGCTGTTGTGGAGGCAGACAGCTGGAAAGAAGACTGCTGCTTGCACATCTAACTCCCTGCTCCTTTTTACTGCCAGCTGTTTTCCCAGCATTCCTGGGCCAGTGACTCCTGTGAGCAGAGAGGATGAGGGGCATGGGTCTTGGGTGCCTCAGAGGAGGTGTGTGCATGTGTTTGAGATGATGTGCACTGGCAGTGCTTCACATGGAGTCAGCCTCCCAAACTGCGATCCATTTCTCTGTAGAGATGTACAGAACATGGAGAGAAAGTTCTCTCTAAGGAAGAAATTCTTCCCCTGTGAGGGTGCTGAGGCACTGGCACAGGGTGCCCACAGAAGCTGTGGCTGCCCCATCCCTGGCAGTGTTCAAGGCCAGGTTGGACACAGGGGCTTGGAGCAATCTGCTCTAGGGGAGGGTGCCCCTGCCTGTGGCAGGGGGTTGGAACTGGATGAGCTTTAAGGTTCCTCCAAACCAGTCTGGGATTCTATGAAAGTTTTTCTGAGAAAGTGGAATCTGCATGTGTTAACCCGCAATAAAAGATGCACTGCTGGTGGGCAGAAGGAAATGCTGCATATGTTCATGCTGCTGGAACCACTTTGAATGTTCACCTGTAGCTGTCACTGTTTTTGGAAAGATTCGTATGTTGTCTTAAGTTGAAATTAAAAGCAACTTGGAAAAGCCTTCATTTTCTCCCTTGAGTGGTAATCACTATGTATCATGCTTCCTAGCACTTCTGCATGTGATGATGGACAAAGACTTGCATTTTTGGGGTATTGCAGAGTTTTCACATAACTGCTTCCAATACTAATGCCATTGGGGAGAGAGAAAACTAGTTCTACTCTTTTAGAATCTGAAGAGGTTATTTTGGCTAGCTGAGCCATTAAAAACAGAAAGCAAGTCTGTTTGTGCTGCTCCATCTTTATCATTTCAATCAGTCTTCCTGCAAGGTTGAATAAGCTCTACAAGGTAAGCCTGTGTGCTTGTGGCAAGGTTGTTTGGTTAAAGTAGACTTCATTATCTTGCTTCATTAATTACCTCTGTATCTTATCTGTATGATAACATAACTTACACTCATGAGTGTTGCTTAAACAAAGCCAGGTATTTTATGCAAAGAAAACCAGTCACCTGCAGTCTGGATAACTGTTTTAGGAGTTCAAACATTGTCTTGATATTTCATTTAAAACAAATACTGTGATGAATGGTACAGTGTCCCATTACAGGGGTGATGGGTTCAAACGGAAACAGGGGAAGTTCAGGTTAGATATAAGGAAGAAGTTCTTTACTGTGAGGGTGCTGAGGCAGTGGCACAGGTTGCACGGAGAAGTGGTAAATGCTCCATCCCTGGCAGTGTTCAAGGCCAGGTTGGACAGAGCTTTGGGCGACATGGTCTAGTGTGAGGTGTCCCTGCCCATGGCAGGGGGTTGTTACCTACATGATCTTCAGGTCCTTTCCAACCCAAACCATTCTGTGAAATGCATTGACAAAGGTGAGAGTGGCGCTTGGGGAGCCAATCCTGTGTTGGGAAAGAGGAGCATTAAACCCTGTCAGTGGTGTACGACTGCAGAAGCACCTAT